AGTATAATGTATATTCATCAGATTAGATGCATCTTGTAGTACCGATTTCAGCCACCGGGGGGATCATACACTTAAGTGTGAGTCGCCTGCTATGGTGCACCTTGAAGGAGGGGGGGGGGCTCAGAATATCCCAAAAAAATGAGCCCAGAAGAGAGAAAAAGCTCCAATAGTGTAGTATTTATTGGATAAAAAGGAGTTTACAATCAAAATCAAGGTAAAAAACGGACACTTACATCCATGAATAGAACAGAGTATAGCAAGGTCAGTAAGTCATGTACAGGGGGGTCCTCTGACGCGTTTCGTGTAATAACACATTTTCAAAGGGGCCCCTTTGAAAATGTGTTATTACACGAAACGCGTCAGAGAGACCCCCCTGTACATGGATTACTGATCTTGCTATACTCTGTTCTATTCATGGATTGGAGCTTTTTCTCTCTTCTGGGCTAATTTTTTTGGGATATTCTGAGCCCCCCCTCCTTCAAGGTGCACCATAGCAGGCACATAACGCACATAATTTTGTGCTATCTGGTTAGTGCATTGTATTCTCATTCCTCACAAGCCACGGAAGTCACGATAACTCAACAGCCATCTAGTGAACCACGTTTATCACATTGCACCTTTTGAATATCACTTTTAAGACTTTTACTTATTTATGTATTTTTATCTGTACATTTTAGCGCTGCATTCCTATTGATTATTTTGTATATTATTGGAGGATTCAAGGTATTTCCTCTTTTTTGCTGGCTGCTTATTTTGTTTGATGTACCCAGCGCTCGTATATTACTGCTTTACAGGTATTCTTTCATATTGAGATTTTTTTGACAGGTTGCAGGGACAAGTGAAAATAATTTGTACTTAAAGTGCACTTATCTTTTTTATACGCTCAAGAGTACAATGAAATAGCAACATGCAGTAAAATTAAGGTTGATGATTCAAGTGTCCATATTTGTTACAATTTTGGAAAAGTAAAAAATCAATGTTCACAAGCTCTACAATTCATGTAAAAAGAGTCATCAATCACGTCTGCCAAATGGCACTGGCAAATTGTCAGTAACCAGGACATAATGAATGTTTACACGCCAGATCTGTATTCTAAAAAAATTGTTGTCTTTAACACCTTCTTCACAGGAATAAGGCAAATCTGATCTGGCTAATACATTTAACTATGCATTTTACTTCTGTATTCTTTATTTTTTTTTCTATTTTTCTATTGTTTGTACTTTTTTCTAAACTATGTTGCTTTCTACGTCTACAAATATGCCATTAATAAATATGGCTGACTTACTGTCTGGTCTTTCTGTTATTATTTTATATTTGCTGTCAAAAGATGATGTTAAACTTTTAGTATTATATCGGTTAAAAGAAAACACTGCAGAACAGTGGTCTTCAAACTGTGGCCCGGGGGCCAGATGTGACCCTTTGCTTGATTTTATTTGGCCCTTTGGGGCACTATTTTATCCACTGTTACCAACAATGGGGCAAAATTCTCCCCATTGACACCAGTGAAGGGGCACAATTCTCCCAATGTCACCAACAATGGGGCACACTTTCTCCCAATGACATACAATGGGCCCAATGACACCATAGATGGGGCACAAGTTGTCCCAATGACATACATTAATGGGGCCCAATGACACCAATGATGGGGCACAATTCCTGTCATTGACACCAAAAATGGGGCAGTGTTTGTTTTTTTCCCACTGACGTCAGCACCTTTTCTACTCTCAATGGTCACAGTCCAGCCCGCATAAAGTCTGAAGGACAGTAAACTGGCCCTTTGTTTCGAAAGTTTGGAGACCCCATGCGCAAGAAGATTAAATTTACTGAAATAGCAATGGATAACCCTACATTGTGTTGGGTATAATGGGTAACACAGCAAGAAAATATTGATAGCTCCTTTATAAAAAAAAAAAAAAAAAAGAAAAAGAATTGGATTGCAGATGATAGGGGATACAGGGCCTGTGTGCAGCTCAAAAGCAACAGTGAGATGTGCGGGTTGATAGAGGAACTTCATAGGACAAGAGGGTCTTCAAAAGATTAGTATTTATTTGAACCAACATTGTGGGGGAAACCGACCCAAGTAAATCAAAGTAACAGCCACCATATCTTACAGTGCTATATGCTAAGGTCAGTACCATCCCTACAAACTATCCATCCAAAAAAATACACAAGGAAACATCAACGAAATGCCTGTTAAGCTGAAAAGCTACCTTTAGCCTGTTTTTGCTGTGAAAGGCAGCTGAAAAAAATGTCATAGATAAATTTTGTCTATCTGCTAACTAAACATACACATATTCTAGAATTTCCTGAGGTGATGACCAGTATCTTAGTAAAAACAATGATTTGCCCTTGGCCTCAGCCACAACTTATGGTAGTACAAAATGACATCCTGTCCAGCACTTTTACGCCTCATACAATTAGTGTCAGTGGCTTAACCACTTGCCCTCCAGAGGACTTACCCCCCCTTCCTGACCAGGCCATTTTCTGCATTACGGCGCTGCGTTACTTTAACTGACAATTGCATGGTCATGCAACGCTGCACCCAAAGGAAATTCACATCCTTTTTTATTTCCCCATGAATAGAGCTTTCTTTTGGTGGTACTGATTGCCTGTGTTTTTTTATTTTTTGCGCTATTAAAAAAAAAAAAAGACCGACAATTTTGCGGAAAAAAAAATGTATTTGACATTTTGCTATTAATCATGTCCAGTAAAAAAAAATTTTAAAAAATCTAATTTTGTCATACATTTAGGCCAAAATGTATTCTGCTACGTCTGCTAAAAAAAAATCCCAATGTAAATTAATTGGTTCACGTGAAAGTTATAGCGTTTACAAATGGTGGTATATTTACTAGTATTTTTTGTCATTTTTACTAGTAATGGTGGAAATAAGTGACTTATTGGCGGGACTGCGGCGGGCATTCTGACACTGGGGGGGAACTGACTTGGTGTCACTGACATCCCAATGACACCAATAGAGTGATTAGTTCTAATAAAAAGCACTGACACTGTACTAATGGCACTGGGCAGGAAAGGGTTAACATGTGGGCCGATCAAAGGGTTAACTGTGTGCTGTTTTACTGTGGGCTGTGTTAGTGCTTTCCACTGTAAGCACACTGCCAATCCTTGCATGTGGTGACTGCATTTGTTTTGTTTTTTTTTTTCAGGCCTTTTTTTCCCTTGATTTTCACCTGTAGATTTTAAGTTAGTAACTTCCGGTCTTATGGTGACAATGCTTACTTATGCTACTTTATCTATTGAGGAGCAGCGTTGTCCCCGTAGGCTGGTTTGCTGATTGGACTACAATCACCCCCCCCCCCCCCCCTCATCTCCATTACATAAGGGGGAGTGTGGTATGTTCCAGAAGACAGCTGGAAAGGCTAACTTTGTTTGCAATGTCAGTACAGAGCACAGAAAGAGACAAGGACACTAGATTTCTAGAATGATCAACAGCTATTTTTCTATAGCAACATAAATGTGGCAAACCTCTGCACACTACTTTTAGACATTCTTTAGTCCATTTATTTACAAAATGATCAACGTGCACTCCCCGCCTGAGATAGCCGCTATCTCAACAGTTACTCCCTGCTTATTAGCCTCATGCACGCTAAGTGGTTTTAAAAACACTGCTTTTAGGGGTGACTGATGCCTCTAAATGCCCCTCCATGTTAGGCTATGTGTCCATGCACACACAGGCATTTAGAGGCAGAAAAAAATAACCCACTGCCAGCAGGTCCAGGAGCAGCCGCAGTTTGGCAGAAAACACACATAATGTGCCTTTAGACATGTTTGCATTCATCAGCACTTATTATTCTGGTCAATTAAATGAATAAAGCCCTTGATGAGCAAAAACAAAGCTAGATGTGGGTTTTTTTATTACCCTCTAAACGCCTGTGTGCATGTACACATAGGCTAACATGCAGGGGCGTTTAGAGGCTGAAAAAAATTGCCAGATGCTCCTATAATAGCAGCATTTTTAAAGGATAAGTTCAACTTTGGTAGCATGTTACATGTTCCACCCATTTTTAGGGTGGAACATGCAACATGTTCCCAATGCTGCAGCTGCAGCCCGCTGCCCCCTCCGACAGAAGTGAGAGAAGTTCCACGTACTAGCTGTCAGATTTCGAAACAGCATTTTGTGAATGAATGAACTGCAAGTCCTGACAGCCGCTAAGGCCGTAGCGCCGTGGTAGTTCATTGAATCTTCCTGTCAGTATAGCTGCTTGGAGGTAAAAAAAATGTGCATTTATTATTTTTGTCTGCAGAAGACCTGCATGGTATCAGTGATCTGCTAATCGCTGGTGCAATGCTTTTCAGGCTCCTGTAGACAAAAATAATAAATGCACATTTTTTTACCTCCAAAAAAATGTGCATTTTATTATTTTTATTCAAAAGGTGAATTTATCCTTTAATGCTCAGTGTGCATGAGGTCCAGGGTTAAAACATGCAATGTACTGATCATCTCGTAAATAAATATTGTAAAATATATTCGATATTTGGGTGTACAGTGATTTTGTGGGAGTCCAACTTTGTGTTGCTGTTACGGCTGCAAGGCATGGACCTTGTTACAGCCAAAAAAGTAGGGTGATACAGACATGTTCAGCATCTGATATCACCTGCCAACGTGTCCCATAGAAGTGAATTGATATGCAACTGTGGATGCGGTTTTCTGCCTCCTGACCATCTCCTGATTGCCTGTTAACTATGGCACTACCTGCACAGAGTTTGCATGTTCTCCCTGTGCCTACGTGGGTCTCCTGCAAATTTCCAAAGACATGCTGGTAGGTTAATTGGCTTCTGTCTAAATTGGCCCCAGTATGTGTATGCATGTGTAAATGTAAGTTAGGGACCTTAGATTGTAAGCTCCTTGAGGGTAGGGACTGATGTGGTGTGATGTATATACACTATATTGCCAAAAGTATTGGGACATCCCCCCCAATCATTGGATTCAGGTGTTCCAATCACCAGCATGACCACAGGTGTATAAAATCAAGTACCTAGGCATGCAGACTGCTTCTACAAACATTTGTGAAAGAATAGGTCGTTCTCAGGAGCTCAGTGAAATAAAGTGTGGTACCGTGATAGGTTGCCACCTGTGCAATAAGTCCCATCTGTGACATTTGCTTGCTACTAAATATTCCACGGTCAACTGTTGTAGTGGTATTATAACAAAGTGGAAGAAACTGGGAACAACAGCAACTCAGTCACGAAGTGGTAGGCCACGTAAAATGACAGAGCGGGGTCAGCGCATGCTGAAGCACACAGTGTGCAGAAGTTGCCAACTTTCTGCAGAGTCAATAGCTAAAGACCTCCAAACTTTGTGTGGCCTTCAGATTAGCACAACAACAGTGCGTAGAGAGCTTCATGGAATGGGTTTCCATGGCCGAGCAGCTGCATCCAAGCCTTACATCACCAAGTGCAATGCAAAGCGTTGGATGCAGTGGTGTAAAGCACGCTGCCACTTGACTCTAGAACAGTGGAGACGGGTTCTCTGGAGTGATGACTCATGCTTCTTTGTCTGGAAATCCGATGGACGTGCCAGGGTTTGGCAGTTGCCAGGTACTTTCCTGACTGCATTGTGCAATGTGGAAAGTTTGGTGGAGGGCGGATTATGATGTGGAGTTGCTTCTCAGGGGTTGGGTTTGGCCCCTTCTTCCAATGAAGGGAATACCAGCATACCAAGACATCTTGGACAATTTCATGCTCCCAACTCTGTGGGAGCAGTTTGGGGATGGCCCCTTCCTGTTCCAACATGATTGTGCACAGTTCACAAAGCAAGGTTGATAAAGACATGGATGAGCGAGTTTGGGGTGGAGGAACTTGACTGGCCTACACAGAGTCCTGACCTCAACCTAAAAGAACACCTTTGGGATGAATTAGAGCAGAGACTGCAAGCCAGGCCTTCTCGTCCGACATCAGTGCCTGACCTCACAAATGCACTTCTGGAAGAATGGTCAAACATTCCCATAGACACACTCCTAAACCTTGTGGACAGCCTTCCCAGAAGAGTTGAAGCTGTTATAGCTGCAAAGGGTGGGCCAACTCTACGGGTTAAAACTAGGATGCCATTAAAGTTCATGTGCGTGTAACGGCATCCCAAAACCTTTGGCAATATAGTGTATATATAGATACACTGTATATGTAAAGTGCTGCGCATAAATTGACAGCGCTATATAAATACCTGTAATAAAAACTGTGGGCCAGCCATGGCTGACAGAGTGATGCACCGAGGATCGAGTATCAGCACCTTGGCCCACATGAAAGGGGCCTAAGGATTGCTCAGTTACAGCATGCAGTATTATTTTCTTGAATAAAGAAGTACCTCTTTCCTACCTTGAAAGAAAACACTGGCATGAACTGCATTGTGTCATGTACTGCTTAAAAATAGTCTATGGCTAGCAGATGCCTTTGTGGGTGTTTGCGATCATTAGATCTTTAGACGCACCCTGAAAACCCATCTCTTCAGGGAAGCCTACCCCACCCCCTGCTAACTTGCCGACCTCCTCCACTCTTCCTACCACTCCATCCCCCCACAGCTATCTCCTCCTGTGCCACTATCCCCTCCCTCCTAGATTGTAAACTCGAAAGAGCAGGGCCCTCAATCCCCTCATGTTTTGCATTGTATTGGTATTGTTCTGTCACATGTTCTGTCCCCCTTTGTAATGTACAGCGCTGAGTGAACTATTGGCGCTTTATAAACACTGTATAATAATAATAATAATTAGTGACTGCAGACAAACTAACATTTTCAATCAGTTTTTAATCTGATAGGAACATCAGCAAGGACAGTCTGCTTATGCAATAAGCAAATATGGCTGCCCCCATTTACATATACAATTACAAACTATATATAAAAATATGTTCTTTAAACATTAACACACTTTGTATAAGTTAGCTGAAATTTTATCTAAAAACTCTATCAGCCCTTTCCTCTGAGATCTTCACAAAAAGTGAATCAATTCTTATTCTTTCCAAAAAAAAAATGTAGGATACAGTCTTTGCAAATAACATTTATATAGCAATGTATCTTGTCTACAAATGCAGGCTCCTCTGGGTACAAGCAAATAATTTACAAGATTTGCATATTAAAAAAGTGGTTTTCAGACCCCATATAAGTCTTAATGTTTAATAAAGTAGATGTAAGCCCTGACTGCATGACATTTCAGTTGTTAAAACACTGTCTATCATATATTATTGAATAAAATACAGTTTTCACTTTTCTATCCTTTCTTTTTTTTCGCACGTCAGTGCTGCTGATCTCCCCCAGACTTCTTCAGTTACCTTCTGTCTATATGTATTTGCTCGTCAGTCTGATGCACATTATTGCTCAGGACTGGCTTCCCAATAATAATGGTAGACACACAATATGTGTTATAACACGCCAGGTTACATATAATATATTCTTCTGCAAAGCAAGTAAATGATTATTGCTAGTTTTGTTAGTGAAACAAAAGTAACAGGATGACCATCAGACTAGTCAGCAAACAGATTTCATGAGGGCTGGGCAATAAGTAAATATCCACTATGGCTGACCTAAAATAACACTGACACTTAATTGCAATATCAGAAGCCAAAACCTCAGTGACCTTTTTCTCAAGCTTGAGGTTCCATCCTTGTTCGTTGAAGACCTTGGGATAAGCTTTAAAGACTAGAGCAGAGATGGAGTTGTTGCTCACAGTATTAAATCCAATGGCATGTTTCAATTTTCTAGTGCTGTTTAGAGGGTAAAACCTAAATCCTGCATTGCTGAGTCCAATTGTTCCTCTGCTGTAGTTTTTATCAAACAGCCACATTATTTACTAAACTGCTTATTTACACCAAGAACAACAAGGAGATACAATGAAAAACAACCTTTTCTGTCTGAGTGGTATTGGCTAAGTAGGCCCCTTTGACACTGATGTGACACAGTGTACCCACGGGTGGTGGTTCAGGTGGTGTAGTTCAGCTGCACTTTCCCACAGTTCTATTATGTCCCACAGTTTCGGTGTGCTTTCAGAAACCTGCGCTACACCTGTTTTTTTTTTTTTTTTTTAAGTCCGCAAACGTGCAACTATAACGTAAAAACCCGTAAGTGTCCGCAAAAAAGTGCAAGTGCAAGAACACACACACGAAAAACGTGCACTTAGGGGTGTGTTTGTCCTACCCCCGAAAGGGTTGGACCGTTCACCCGATCCCCCGGGGCACGAAGCTCCTGACAGGGACAAGGTTCCCATTTGGTCCTCCTGGCCAAAAGGCCTGCGCTACACCTGTGGTGTGGTTAAACCACACCACATCCATGTGACAGGGACCTTAGGATAGATCGTGAGAAATTACACATTTTGGAGATAAGGCTAGCCGTACACACGTAGATTTCTTTCTTTCATGCCGCAGGCAGACTAAGAAAATATCAATAGATTCCTTCATCTATGTCAGGGGTGGCCAACCTGCGGCTCTCCAGCTGCTGCAGGACTACAAGTTCCATCATGCCTCTGCAAGTCAGTAACTTCCCATCTTTGCAATGCCTCATGGGAAATGTAGTTCCACAACAGCTGGAGAGCCACAGGTTAGCCACCCCTGAAGTCTGAATACCTGAACAGTGGCGTCTGGATGTAGTCACTGTACAGCTGATAATTTTTTACCCAGCTCAGTCTAGTCCTTGGTGTTGACAGGGCCAACAAAGCCTTGAGGCTTGAGCCTTGTATGGCCAGCTTAAAGCAGAACTAAGTTCCCAAAAATACCTCCAACATCCACAGATGCAGTGGTCACATCTCGTCAGCCACTTTTCTCCTGGGGCCGCTTCTGGGTGCAGGGTTTTTGGCCACATGAATGGGCAGTGGGGGGTGACTTCAAACACAAGCTCATGGAGTCGGTCATTCCGGCACAGCCGGGAATGCACACTGAGCTGCACATGTACAACTCAGTGTACATTCAATAAAGGACTTAACAGGCAGGTATGTTTGTTATTAAAGAAGAGACATAGCATGTCTCTTCAATGAATAGCTTATATAGTACTGGTAAAGCATTGGATCCCTTAGAGACATGTGGGTGCACTGATAAAGAGAGACAACGTTATTCACCTGGCTCTCTTGGCCTTTTGGACGTTAATGGTGCATTTTACCTGTGAGACTTCTGGGCTATTAAACAATTGGAGGGTTGATCTTAGGGGGATGGATGTCTTCAAAGGATATTATCTCTATTCCTATCATCTTTTAAGGTAGTAGCTGTTCCTCCCTCCCCGCGCTTGAGCTGCTTTTATCACTCTGTGCATGCTTTGGCTGGGATGTTTCTTGCGTTGCATTTCATCCTGCACATACCCATTATTCCTTCATGGGGTTGGTCCGGATATGCAAACAATCATCAGTATGGTGCTTTCCCCTGGTATTTTGAACCCCTGAAGAAGCCCACCCGGTGAAACGTATTGCGACTTTCATCACCTCTCCAACTTAAGACTACTCTATTATGTATCAACAAATGACGACATGAGTATTCTTTTGAACAAATGATAGGAGAAGCGTTGGGGTTCGCTGTATTGAAGGGTTGTCATCTATTTTGTTTATTATTGTTGGGGAGAATTTATTTATGCCTATGCTTTTATGTGTTACATATTTTGTAATAAAATTTGATATTTTTTATAAAAGCTGTCTGTTTGAATACTCTTTCCTGAGGGTACCACGAGCACCTTAAAAATCCCATATACTGTATTTCTTTCTTTTCTTGTTTCAATAAATAGCTGCCTTCATGCAGTTTTTTACAAGCTAGGTTTAGATCCACTTTAAGTCCTAGCACGATTCTGACTCCAGTGTGAGCTGGTGAGAGAAAGGGCTTATTCAAATGTGTGGCTATTATTGCCCCTCTGAAATATGATCCATGTATACATTTTTCTATCATAAGCTCCACTCCCCTCCCATGTCCACTTACTTAGCCTATGCTGATCATTCCCCCGGGGTACTTACTTACCTTCTCCATTTGTGGCAGCTTCCTATGTTGTTTACATTATAGTTGTTAAAAATGTAGTCCTGGGCTTCCCACCCTATACACTAATGTCCCATAGACTTAAATGAGATGCCCATACTGCAGCAACATCCCATCCTTCAGGCAGTCCTGCACTAGTTTTATAATGGCTGGATTTTAAACAAAATGGAGAGAAATGGAGACTGCCACTGTAGGAGGTAAATAAGCACACGGGGCTGGTGGTCAGTTTAGGCAAGTTAAAGGGGCTAAGGGAGGATTTTAGATAATTAGTGAACATGTTAAAAGAATTAAAGTGGTTGTAAAAACCCTTACATATACCCAGTGAAGTGACTGGCCTCAGGTGATACACAGAGATGAAACAAATTCTCCTTCTTAAGTTGTACTGTACCTGTTTATTGGCAATCTTCTCTTCTCTACATCTGTTAAAAGTGCTGAATTTATAAAGCTGTCAAAAAAAGGGGGCAGAGAGCTGAAGTTACACTCTGCAGAGCTCAGTGAGGACAGCTCTGAGAGCTGATTGGAGGGAATGGATACCCCTTCTCCCCCTCCACACAGCTTACAGGAACAGAGCTGAGGCTGTCAATCTGCTGGAGGTCTCTCCCCTGTCACCTTTTTTCTCTTGGTGTCAGGAAAACTTGTCAGAAGTGATTCATGCTGATAGTAGAGGAATGAAGTAGCAGACAGAAATTACACTTGGTGCTCTTAATTGAGTAAACACTATAGAGGGATATGCTTTGTTCATATTTCATGTCTGAGGTTTACAACCATTTTTAGGGAATCACTAAACGTCAAACTTCCTACACTGACAGATAGCTTACACCATGCTACATCCTGCTACAGACATGGAACTTGTATTAATATCTGCTTGTTTAGCTTCAGCAGAGCACAGTCCTAGTTTATTTACCCATGACTAATAAACCAACACAGATCTGTGCAGTCCTAGATGCATGCATGTATTTGCAGTCTGTACAGCTAGTGTAGGGTACTTAGCAATGTTATATAATTATTCAAGATGTGCAACTTCGTAAGCAGGTTGGATGACTATATACTTTCAATACTATATTGTAAGACTTCGGATGATCTCCAGGTCATCACACGTTTCGTACTGAGGCTCCTCCTGAAGATGCCATACATCTTTAGGGACAGTTTCTAGTTTGGAAAGAGGAAAGCTATGTATGGATGTGTCATTGAAGATATCGCTGTACTTGGGGCTCTCTGGAAACGGTGCTTCTTCTATGGCTTGTAAACTCTGTAATGAAATGGAAGATTATAAAATACAGTACATTTTGGTTTTAACTAAGCTCATAAACAGCACCATGTACTGCCATCTGTGCACTATGCATAATCATTTAAACATCAACAGTAGAAGTTCAGTTTACGGTCAGGCAGGGCAGCTGACCTGATTTTTCTCTGCTGCAGTTAAAGTGTTACTAAACCCAGGACCCTGCATCCACTATATCTGGTGCCCCACAGTACACAGAACACGGAAATTCAATTATTTTAGTAAATATAAACTGATAAATACCTTTTATCATCACCAGTTAGAGAAGTCTTGTGACTTCTACAGTATCAGTGTCCAGCACAGCACTGGCTAAAGCTTGTAGGAGGAGTTTTCTTTCTGCTCTAGCAGGATGCAAAACCCCTGATATCTATCTGGACAGTGCTGATTGGCCCTGTGCTGATCACATGCACTCTCCCAAAAAAAACAAAATCTCTCTAGCAATACACAACAAACTGAACATGTGCAAATGCCTACGGTTCAATCTGTCTTATCAGGAGATAAGCGGTGGACACTTGAAAAAGGGGAGGAATAGAGAAGAAAGGATCAAACGGCCTTTTTACACAATGCAGAGGATTAACCCCTTGGGTTCCACAGTGAGTATAACAAGCATGCTTTACTGCATATACAGACTGATTTTACTGTTGTGGGTTTAGTAACACTTTAAGTAACACTTACAGGGCTTCCCTCAGCCTGTGACTGGACAGTAAACATAAAAGCAGCAGTCTGGTGAGCTCAACTCTGCTCTCTCCTCCTATCAGCATGCTCCAAGTAATGCAAACACTACAGCTCAGTTGATAGGCTCCTTGTGATATTAAAGGCATTTTTTTTTATAACAGAAATGTCATATTTACCTGCTCTGTGCAGTTGTTTTGTGCAGCGCAGCCCTAATCCTCCTCTTCTCAGGTACCCAGCTGGTGCTCCTGGATCCTCCCTCCTGCCGAGTGCCCCCAGAGCAAGCAACTTGCTATGGGGGCATCCGAGCAGGCTTACTCCCGAGCCGCTGCTGTGTGTGTCCATTCACAGACAGAGCTGCAGTTCAGCCTCCCCTCCTCTCTCCTCAGTGGCTCAATGGCTGTGATTGACATCAGCAGGAGCCATTGGCTCCTACTGCTGTCTCAGCCAATGAGGAGGGAGAGTTCCTGAAGAGCTGAGGCTTTTGTGCACATCACTAAATCGCGATGGGCCTCAGGTAAGTTTTAGGGGGGCTGCTGCACACACAAAGGTTTTTTTTACTACATGTATATAATGCATGAAGATAAAAAAAAAACTTGAACATTTGACCACTTTAATTTATGATCATTGAATGATTTATCTTTCAAAAATTGTTCACTACATGATGGTAGTAATGTGAGCTCTGCTGAACAATGTTTACTTTTTCGAAAATGCTTTTGAACGAATTTTCGTATAGCGTATGGCTTGCATAAGAGGCTAATACTAACGTAGGTGATTACACAGCTTGTTCTACAAAAATGATGTATTACTGAATGCAGAACTGCAATAATGTGTATCTTTTATATCTGCCTGGAGTTCAGCCTTAAAGACGTACTTTATACCAGCATTCCAGTCCAGTTGGATGTTTAAGTGTTTTTATGTCAAAATATTACTTCTGCTTCTCAAGTGCCTAATTTTCTTATGCTGAAAGCCCTTCACCGAGCCTTTCCACAGTCCATATTTTGTATATTTCTTACTTCATAGAGAAATTTCTTTCTGCTCAGGACTTTCTGTTCTTTGGGTATGTTCCACATGCATAACAGAGGATTAGATTTTAGATTTTCATAAAATGGAGCCCCTAATGCCTTAAAGTACACCTGTCATGACAAGAATACAGGGGCTACCTTTGCCAACCCTTCCTATTGAATATGCTGTTCACCTATCATGTTCATCAACAATTCTTTGACTGTAAGCAGTATGCAGATAAGTATGGATTTTCCCTCAACTTTCCTGATCTATATTGTACTTCAGTGACTTAGAAAGTACGGAAATCAGTCAGGCACCTAGCTTTTTCAGGAAGACAATACTAAATAAATATTTAAAAATGCACTGAAAAGTTACTGTCCCTTATACAGTATATGTTAAAATGTCATATACAGTGCCTTGAAAAAGTATTCATACCTCTTGAAATTTTCCACATTTTGTCATGTTACAACCAAAAACATAAATGTATTTTATTGGGATTTTATGTGATAGAACACCACAACAAAGTGGCACATATTTGTGAAGTGGAAGGAAAATGATAAATGGGTTTCAACATTTTTTACAAATATATATCTGAAAAGTGTGATGTGCATTTGCATTCAGCCCCCTTTCCTCTGATACCCCTAACTAAAATCTAGTGGAACCAATTGCTTTCAGAAGTCACCTAATTAGTAAATAGAATCCACCTGTGTATAATTTAATCTCAGTATAAATACAGATGTTCTGAGAAGCCCTCAGAGGTTTGTTAGAGAACATTAGTGAACAAACAGCATCATGAAGGCCAAGGAACACACCAGACGGGTCAGGGATAAAGTTGTGGAGAAGTTTAAAGCAGGGTTAGGTTATAAAAAAAATATCCCAAGCTTTGAACATCTCACGGAGCACTGTTCAATCCATCATCAGAAAACGGAAAGAGTGTGGCACAACTGCAAACCTACCAAAACATGGCTGTCCACCGAAACTGACAGGCCAGGCAAGGAGAGCATTAATCAAAGAAGCAGCCAGTAGGTAACTCTGGAGGAGCTGCAGAGATCCACAGCTCAGGTGGGAGAATCTGTCCACAGTACAACTATTAGTCGTGCACTCCACAAATCTGGCCTTTATGGAAGAATGGCAAGACAAAAGCCATTGTTGAAAGAAAGCCATAAGAAGTACTGTTTGCAGAGAAGCCATGTGGGGGACACAGCAAACATGTGGAAGGAGCTGCTCTGGTCAGATAAGACCAAAATTTTACTTTTTGACCTAAAAGCAAAACACTATGTGTGGCGGAAAACTAACACTGCACATCACCCTGAACACACCATCCCCACCGTGAAACATGGTGGTGGCAGCATCATGTTGTAGAGATGCTTTTCTTCAGCAGGGACAGGGAAGCTGGTCAGAGTTGATAGGAAGATGGATAGAGCTAAATACAGGACAATCTTAGAAGAAAACCTGTTAGAGTCTGCAAAAGACTTGACTGGTGCAGAGGTTCACCTTCCAGCAGGACAAAGACCCTAAACATACAGCAAGAGCTACAATGGAATGGTTTAGATCAAAGCATATTCATGTGTTAGAATGGCCCAGTCAAAGTCCAGACCTAAATCCAATTGCGAGTCTGTGGCAAGACTTAAAAATTGCTGTTCACAAACGCTCTCCATCCAATCTGACAGAGCTTGAGCTATTTTGAAAAGAAGAATGAGCAAAAATGTCACTCTCTATGTGCAAAGCTGGTAGAGACATCCCCAAAAAGACTTGCAGCTGTAATTGCAGCGAAAGGTGTTTCTACAAAGTATTGACTCGGAGGGGGCTGAACACAAATGCATTCCACACTTTTCAGATATTTATTTGTAAATAATGTGGAAAACCGTTTATCATTTTCCTTCCACTTCACAAATATGTGCCACTTTGTGTTGGTCTATCACAGGGGTCTCTAAACTGCAGCCCAAGGGCCGGATGTTGCCCTTTGCTAGCCTTCATCCAGCCCTTGGGGCACTATTCCTCCCAATGATATGAAGCAGTATTCCCACTGACACCAATAATGGGGCACTATTTCTTCCACTGATAACACTTATGTGGTACTATTCCTCCCAATAATACCAATGTGATGGGGCACTACTCTTCCTTCTACTGACCACCATACCTGAGGCCATGTTTATTCTCATTGATGCTGGGCCCAGAACATTTTCTATTCCCACTGGCCACACTCCAGCCCTCTTAAAGTCTGAAGGACCATAAACCAGCCCTTTGTTTGAAAAGTCTGGAGACCCCTGGTCTATCACATAAAATAGACTAACGCTTTTGGTTGTAACATGACAAAATGTGGACATTTTCAAGGGGTATGAATACTTTTTCAAGGAACTGTATTCATAAGAGAAAGTATTTTTACATTCCTGTCTAAAGGGTAAGTCATCTGTCATCTGCAAAACAAAACTCTGCAATAAAAAGCCTACCTTAAAGATGTAAGTATAGTCCCTTTGCAAAACTCTGGATAGCAATCTAAAAAATAAAATATTTTACAAATATAAGTAATGTATAACATGATATAGAACATACAAAGCAAATAATCTAAAGGGAAAAATCTGGAAAATCAAAAATGCAAATACGGTAATATTTTTTAGCGCTTGTTAACATTTGCTTTGATCTCTGAAGAGTGATGTGCATTCGGGTCAGGCGGTGAGGAGACACTGTATCACCTCCTCATTGCTTGCTTTAACATGCAATTGCACAGCGGCCTCTTTCAATAAAATGGGTTGCATTCTACGGATGCTACAACCAACAAAAGTATTTGCTTTATTAATCTCTGCCCCAGCTGAAAAGCATTGAAATCACAGCATGTGTACACCCCTGGTCGCTGCCTCTGCAACTAAAGGTGGTAGTGGTTGGGGGCAGTAAAAGCACAGCTCAACAGCAGGATTTTCCAGCCCCCAACCTCAGGTGTGAATAAATGTTTCTTTGTGGTTAGATACCAACACAGAAGAGTCCTAATTTGTTAATTTAGTCCTATAGGTTGCAATGTTTGGTATAGCCTGAAAAAAGAAAACTAATGCAGCCTTAACATCCAACAACTGGGAAGATGCAGTGTATTCCATTTTTGGTTTTGGGTTTAGATATGCTTTAGGGTGGGGTAAGAGTAAGGATTAGGCAGGCAGGGCTAGGAGATTTTTTTTTCTTTATAAATGTTAACTACCTCCAGTCAAGGCCATTTGTGGCACTTTTTGGTTACATGTAACAACCATTTTTTTTGCTAGAAAATTACTTAGAACCCCCAAACATTATATTTTTTTTTAAAGCAGAGGCCCTAGAGAATAAATTGGTGGGTTTTGAAGTTTTTTTTATGTCACGTGGTATTTGCACAGCATTTCTTTAAATGAAATTTTATGGGGAAAAAAATACACTTTTTTGAGATTTAATGCAAAAAAACAATACATAATCCATTTTGTGTACAATATAAAAGATGATGTTACACCGAGTAAATAGATACCAAACATGTTAGGCTTTAAAATTCCGCACACCCGTGCAATGACAACAAACAATATAAATTTTACTATCCATAGGCGATGCTTTAAAAACCTTTACATGTTACCACTTTAGTTTTACAGAGGAGGTCCGGTGCTAAAATAATGGCCATGATCTAACATTTGCGGTGATACCACATGTGTGGATCGATTGCTGTTTGCATGCGTGCGTGACCGATACGAGCATGCGCCTTAGAGTGCGAACATGGGAGGATTTTAATTTTAAATTATTAATTTATTTTTTAATTTTTACAGTTTCTTTTCGTTTTTTTTTTTTTTTTCTTAAATCACTGTTTATCACTAATGTTGCTGTCACAAGAATGTAAACATCCTTGTGACAGCAATTTGCACGTGATAGGTATTCTTTAGGGAGAGATCTGGGGTCTTTAAGAACCCAAATCCCTGCTCTGCACTTAAAAGTATTCAAAACCACCATGATTGGTGTTTCTGAATGTTTTTATTTTTTGAAAATGGTGCTGTTTACTTCCAAGTAAACTGGAAGTGATGTCAGGTCATCACTTCTGGTTTACTATATTGGAGAGCCAATCAAAGCCGATCCCGGTATGCGGTGTCTTGGGTCTCCTGGTGGGAAGGGAGAGCCTAAGAGAGCAGCAGAAGGTGGCAGAACGTCCCCTCCCACTGCTTGTAATAGCGATCTAGTGGCTGGAAAGCTGATCCAATTGCTATTACAAGACAGCCTACTGCTGGCTCTAAATAAGGGTTCCGGGGTGATGCCTACATCAATCCGGTATAAACACCAAAGGTCCAGCAACATACCAGTACCAGTACGCTCAGATGACAACAGGGATATAATTTATGGTCTGCATCTGTACACCCAGACTATGGACATTAACTCTTTTTGGCGCCAGCAATCTCCCGGCCCTCTAAGGGTTCTAAAAGCCGGGAGGCGGGCCTTCGGGTCATGTGACCACTGTGCTGCTCTCACGGCAATCACATGATTGGAAAGCTCCCAATAAGAGGTATGCATCAGGAGCTTAATGATCACCACTGGCTACCATCCAGGGAGTGCGCTCTCAGTGCGGTAGGTAGTTTTAACAGGGCCGCATATATATGGCTGCTTGATGTTAAGGCTCACACGCCGAGCAACCACATATATGTATGCGGCAAGCACTAAGAGGTTAAACCATTTAGATATTCTTAACAAGCACAAAGGACCATAACTGACCACTGTGAAGATGTTGCTTTTCAGGGGTCACAACGATGACTTGAGATTTGTAATATCTTAAAGGGTCTATAAAAGAAAATGGCTTAGGGAGCCACTCCAGGCCCCCAATCCAACTGCCTCTGGTCACTCACACTAGAAGGAAAGAGCCCATCCCTGTTCAATATACACACTAAACAAAAAATAAGTCCAAACATCGCATGCTAACAGAAGCTCAGGTGAAAACAGGTAAAAGCGGCTTCAGCCTGCTCCATCCAGGCTACACCACACCTAGTGCTTAGTCACGGAGCAGGGTCTGTTGGTCTACAGATAATAACAGCTCAGACCCTGCAAGTCCTTTATGTTTAAGAGGGGAAGGAAGGGGGGGTGGAGTATATGTGTAGAGGCAGGGGAAGAGAATAAGTTAGAATTTGAGGGGGAGGGGAGAACGTTCCGGTGGCTGTAGGCATAGCAGGGGCAGGGTGCAAGGGAACGTTTCGCATTGACAGTATCAGTCAGTGCCAAACCTCTTAGAAATACACACCTGGTTCTTTACTTTAGCAACTGGCAACATATTCTTTTCTCGTAAAGAAATTAAACAGTGTCTGTATTGTGAATTTTGAAAATTAATTCATTCACAATGCTTATAGGTACATGAATGAGGGCGTGTTTAAATGTGCTTTTACTGCTTGTTCTGTATATGGCATACTTACAGTGTGTGTTATGAGCCCAGGTTCACATTACAGTGGTTGTAAACACTTACATATGCAGAGCGATGTGACTGGCCTCAGGCAATACAAAGCAATGAAATAAACCCTCCTACGTAAGTTGTATCGGTTTATCTACTATATGCTATCTTTCCCCTACATCCATTGAAAATTTAGAATCTCTCAGCTCTAACAAGCAAGGGGGTGGAGAGCTTAAATTTCATCAGTGAGGAGAGCCCTAAGAGCTGACTGGAGGGAAGGAACACCCCCCCCCCATTCACACAGCAAACAGGGCCAGAGCTGAGACTGTCAATCTGCTGGAGCTTTCTTACCGACACCTTTTTTTCTCTTGGTGTAAGGAAAAAATCAGAAGTGATTCATGCTGATAGCAGAGGAACAAATAAACAGACAAAAATCACACTTAGTGCTCTGGACTGAGTACATACTATAGAGGGATTTGCTTTGCTCATATTTCATATCTGAGGCTTACAACCACTTAAGACTAGAATCAGGGACATCATTTCTCACTTGTGTCCAGCACCAAAAACCCGCAATGAGAACTACCAGAGCTGCGGCTATTGGAGCTTTATAAAATGCTCATCTCTTTACTACATAGTACCTGACTCTACACAGAATACTGATGTAGCTAAATTCTATACAATATATAAAACAACTAATAGCTATCAGTAGACAGTGGTCTATGGCAGCCTTTCTCAACCAGGGTGCCCAGGAACCCTGTTGTGCCTTGAGGTTTCTTCAGGGGTGCCTTAGCAAAATATCTAAAAACTGCCCAAAACTTGTATAAAAGCCAGTGGGTGGAACAAGCCTGCCTTTTAGTTGCACAAAGCCACAGGTTTTCATTGTGCACCATTATGACCTTCTAGTTGCCAGCATCGTGACAACTAATGACATCATCAGTTGATAAGGTGGATGTTGGCTGCCTGCACAGCATCCTAGTTTGACTCTCCCCTGCCCCTCTCTATCAGTGCTGGGGTCACAAAAGCTCAGTGATGGAGAGAATCTGAGGGAGAAGAGAAACATAGGAATACTAGTCAGTACCAGTGTGCAAAAGTGTATTTGCTTTGGAAGAATAAATCACCTCTAATGTCCGGTGTTCTACGTGTGGATGTTGCTGCGTTGTATAAAGCTATTAGAATCGTTTTTCACATATTAGATTGGGGTGTCCTTTTAAAATTATGGACATTCTTGAGGCACCCCATTTTAGAATGCCTCAAGACTGTCCATTATTTTAAAGGGTGCCTCGAGACTGTCCATAATTTTAAAGGGTGCCTTGACTGAAAAACGGTTGAGAAACACTGATCTATGGAAAAAGCAGTTATAGTTATAGAGTACACAAAGAGCTGGATGCATGAAATACATACAATATATACATTTTCTGTTGTACCCGACAAACGTGGCCAGCTGTTCTTCTGATACACACACCTCTGCTGTTTATGACTTTGCTCCTTAGTGTGAATAAATCAAAGAGTGCGCTAAATATAAGTAAATACAAAAATTTTTAGTTTAAAATAATGTCCGTGATAGAAAAAATTTTATATTAAAGTCCATCCACCATAACAAAGTAATTAAACAGTTCTGAAATCTTGTATAAATCAAACACCGTGCAAAAAAAACAAAAACAATCCACCACCGAATGAAATGGGTACACTCACCAGAGCTCCATGCTGACCAGATTATAAATCAGCAAAGATAGCGTTTGCTCTGGAGCGATGATCAGCAGAAGTAATCCAAACTGGGAGCAATATACTGCAAGCAGCCAATCAGCACAATATGGAATAGCCTTAACAGCAGGTAGTCATCACGTCTCCATACCATAGATCATGTTCGGGGAATCAAAAAAGGAAATCATGGTGCAGTACATTTACTAGTTTCGTCATCCGACGTCCTAACGGGGGGAATAATTCGAATGACGAAACTAGTAGGGTGGGGCTTCTTTTGGATGTGACGTCTGGACGCTCCTCGTAGACTGTTGGCTGTGATATCGCGGTGAGCGTAGCTCGTCCCTGCTTTCTTGAGGCTGTCATTGCTGGTGTCGGCTAGACACCGTTTGTGAGTGCATTTCTGACGTTTTAATTAAACATTTTGGTTTTAAACGTACTGCACCATGATTTCCTTTTTTGATTCCCCGAATATTGTGCTGACTGGCTGCTTGCAGTATATTGCTCCCAGTTTGGATTACTTCTGCTGATCATCGCTCCCAGAGCAAACGCTATCTTTGCTGACTTATAATCTGGTCAGCATGGAGCTCTGGTGAGTGCACCCATTTCATTCGGTGGTGGATTTTTTTTCACGGTGTTTGATTTATACAAGATTTCAGAACTGGTTAATTACTTTGTGATGGTGGATGGACTTTTATATAAAATTTTTTCTATCATGGACATCATTATTTTAAACTAATAATTTTTGTATTTACTTATATTTAGCGCACTCTTTGATTTATTCACATTTTTACCTTTTTTTGGTTAGGAGTGCAGCTTTTGTTCTATTTAGTTTGTGGCGCTTTTTTTTTTTTTTTCTTCTCTATTTCTCATATTATCTTTGCTCCTTAGCGCTTTAGCATTAGTGTATGTAGGTCAGCTCACTAGACAGAGGTGATGTGTCCTGGGTATTCAGCCTTTTCAATCTAAACACTGCCAAATTTCAAATCACAAAGGTGGTTAAAGCCATGTCATGAGATGGTATACAGCTTACCTTTCTTCAATCCCTCTTTGAAACTGTTGCCAATGATAATTATTTGTGACAAAGCCTCCAATGACCAGTTCCTCCACAGCAAGTTATTGTAAAGAGCCTTGCCACAATGCAGCATGTAGAACACTGTGGGTTTTTGCACACCACGCTTTCCCTCCTAGAATGATAACAGAACCTTCTGTAGCATCTCTTGGTAACTCTATATAGATTTACAAAGCATTAATAAATAACTGTGCATTTCACATTGGAATGGTGCGTGTTCAGAAAAACAGCATAAAAAGCAATGACTGTTCTGCCCCACTTTTATTTTCTGTGTTGTATTGAACAGCATTAGGTTGTTATTGCTCTGTGGTATGCTAACATCTAGTGGAGCTGCTACAACTTGTTTACTCTGTGATTTGGTTTCTTCCTCTGTCCTCCTCTCATGTTTAGTACTTGTTAGTTTCGTCCTAGCTAGACCTTCCCTATTTCTTCCAAGTTCCCTCAGCCAGTGTTAGTTATTTGCAGACACATGGCTTAAACAAGTAATTGGGACTGATTTTCTAAAACTGGAGAGGCATGATAGCCAATCAGCTTCCAACTTCAGCTTGTTCAATTAAGCTTTGACAATAAGTTTCTATGAGGAGCTGCACCAGATGTTGCACTCTCCAATTTTAGTAAATCAACCCCAATGAATATGTGTTGCAGTGTACAGAAAGCTGTCTCAATAGGACTGATTTGTGAAGAATGGAGAAAAATAAGAGCACAAAAGTGGAGCTGTTGGTAGCCAGTAACCATTTCCACACCGGGCACTTTTACCCCCTTCCCTCCCAGGCCATTTTTCAGGTTTCAGCGCTCTCACACTTTGAATGACAATTGCGCGGTCATACAACATTGTACCCAAACTAAAATTTTATCATTTTCTTCACACAACTAGAGCTTTCTTTTGGTGGTATTTAATCACTGCCGGGGTTTTTATTTTTTGCTAAATTAACAAAAAAAGACCGAAAATTTTGAAAAAAAAAATACATTTTTCTTTGTTTCTGTTATAAAATTTTGCAAATAAATAATTGTTCTTCATAAATTTAGGCCAAGATGTATTCTACTACATGTCTTTGGTGAAAATAACCCAAATTAGGATGTATTTTTTAGTTTGTAGGAAAGTTATAGAGTTCAAACTATGGTATAGATCTGAATATTGATTAATCCTGAAGTACTGACAGCCAATCTAATTTCTTGAGGGCCAAGAATATCAGAACAGTACAGATATCCCCCAAATGACTCCTTTTTGCAAAGTAGACAGTCCGACGTACTTCATAAGAGGAATGGCAAGTTTTTTGAAGTTGTATTTTTTTGTCATAATTTTTCGGAAAATGAAAAAATTAAAAAAAAATATTTTCACTATTTTTTTTACATACTGTCACCAGTGCAGTACAGCGTCATCATATAACTGGCATGGCGGTGATCAGGGACAATGACTATATATATATATTGTTTTAATTTTTTTTATTATTTTTAATTTTTTATTACATTTTCTTTTCTTTTTTTTAAGATTTTTTTTTTCATATTTCACTATGTCCAAAGTAGTACAATGTTACCATAGCAACATTGTACTACTTTGGGGAAGTGATCAGTATTTATTTATTTATTTTTTTTTTTTTTTTTTACACAATTTGCTTATAGCAAAGAATTACTTTGCTATAAGCAAGCATTTACCTGAATGACATCGATTCATTCAGGGTTTTTTTTTTTTGTATATTTGTTCAAGCCAGTAACTTATTACTAATGTGTGAGGGTCAGTATGATAGCCAAACAATAGTGAACAATAGTAACAAAATATGTCCCTTCTGGCAAGTATCCCTGAGGTCAATACAAACACATAGTGTATATACATTATATATATTTTTATTCCAAACTGCCTACTGTAAAATAAAAAACCCGATTTCTGTTTAGAATCCTATTTACAATGTCTACCTGACATTTATGTACTGTATTTCTTTGCTTTTCTCTTTCACAGCCCCTAGGGATTTACTTAACAAGCTCGTGAAAACAGCAACTACATGCTGCAAGTCATGTCAGCTAGTCTGTAATTTGTCTGATTGGTTGCCATGCAAATCATTGACTTGTGATTCTGGTTTTAAATAAATCCTATTCTGTTGTACCAGCATTTCTTTCTTATATAAAATGAGCAGCACATTATTATCTTACCTCATTTTTGCTAATAACTTTTAAGTCCAGTTCTTGAAGTACAGAAATCTCTGACAGGGAAAATACTGGGTCAAAAACATAGCACTGCTGATATGAGATCTGAAGGAGAAAAACAAAACTTTAGACCCAAATTCTCTTAAATACATTAAGCACATTAAACAGTATATATACAGTCGATGATATTAGATTGATGCCATGACTTTTAAAAAAAAAAACATTTAATTGAAAGGGATCATACTGGACCTGACAGAGGAATGCACTATAAAAGTACAATTAAAACAAGCTTGTTTCACAATAGGACATGTTTTTAACCTGTCCAACCTGTCCAAAGTCTCAGTTTGTGTTGTGTAAGGCTAGGAAAGTACCAAGCCTGAGCATAAAATGTTTGTTACACCTAACTTCATCCCAAAATTGGAGTCCTGGTCCATTCCATCCCTCTCCCTACCCCAACATTCCTTAAAATGCATGTCGCCATCCTTCTTTTTCCCCCTATATCCCTTAAAATATACATTATACAATCAAGTGTTGGGGGTCCCCAAAACTTCAAAGTCCTCTGATCTACACTTAGTACTTGAATTGCAAGTGGCAATATCAAAGGTCAATGGAGGTACCCACATTGCACTGTACGATGTTATGGTTGTGTCTAAGCTCAGGCTTGAAGCATTTGGTGGCCCCATTAGCAGCTTATACTTACTTTCCCTTTGCTGCTCCATTCTGCCACCAGGATTTGAACAATATTGGCCCTGTGTAAACTCCAAGTTGCAACTTCAAGCTTACATACGTTAAGGAGTCTCTCCATGTCCACATGTGACAGCACTGGGTGCCTAAGAGGCCAATTGCCAATCACAAGTGCTGTCATGTGGGAGGATCAGTAGTGGGTCACATGATCCATTGTACCTGAAAGTACAGGTATCTTGTCTTTGCTCCTGGGGGTGAACAGGTTGGAGGGGGGAGCAAAGGTAATCATATGCAGCAGAAGCAGCATGGGCAAAAAAAGGTTCACTATAAAAATAGCTATTTAATTTTGACAACTATGCTTTTCTTAAACTGTCCAAAAAAAGAAAATGTTGCTTCTTAGTAAACAAGGTAACGGGGGTAATCTGTACACAAACACCCCCTGATATCTTCTTCCCTGCTCATATGACTGGCTCGTTGATTATCCACAGAAGGCTGCACAGATCTCAATCTCAAATTTCAGTTACCCCCTGCAGCAGAAATATCATTTAAGATACTTCCAAACACTAATCCACTTATAATGGGATACAGAGCCTGCAGAACTATTAATACAGTGAGACTGATCACAAGATTGTAATGAAGATAGGTAAATGTACTGCCAAAGCAAACATCAATGTCTATAAAACTGAAAATAGTAACTATCTGTAACATGGAGTGGATAAAAACAGAGATCAGGAGCCAGTCAGTCCAATCCAGGAGCCAGCAGGATTTTTAGGGACTAGCTCCATTGACAACAACTAGAGAAAACATCTAAATGTAGGTCATAATGTTCATCAGCAATATGAAACATTGCATATAAAGATTCTGTATCGTTGTGGCTATGCATTTTTGTTTTGTTTCCTAGTTTCCACTAACCATCCATTTTAACAGCTTCAGGACCACCTGCCTCAAATTTACTGCAGCAGAATGGCCCCTCTGCGCCAGATCACATACATGTACGTGGTCCAGTATTTCTGGGTAGGGGGTGCATGCATCGCCAAACCTGTGCTGTCACTGGGATTTTTTTTTTTATCAAAGACATGTAGGAGAATACATTTTGGGCTAAATTTAAGACATTTTATTTTTTGCTCTGATATATTTTAGTGTAAAAAAAAATTTTTTTTCCAACATCTTTTTTGCTTTATATAATAAAAAATAAAAATCCCCAGTGGTGATCAAATGACACCAAAAGAAATCTCTATTTGTGTGAAAAAAAGTATATATATTTCATTTGCATACAGTGTTAAATGATCGCTCAATTGCCAGTTAAAGTAGTGCAATGCCAAACAGCAAAAAGAATGCCCTGGTCACGAAAGGGGTAAAACCTGGAGCTGAAGTGGTTTAAATGCTTGTTTATAGGGCCAAATTGTACAGTGGAATACACACACACATAATAATGTGCCCCCCTCCTTCCATAGGAGATTTCCACCAGGGGCAGGGTGTCTGAAATTAAATTGCAGTGCTCTGGGAATCCTTTGTCATGGGTGCACCCTTTAACAAATTATAATTTGTAAACCAGGATAGTGTTTGTGTGTATGTACAGTATGTAAGTATATACATTCTTCATATTCAACAGCAACACAGACAAAAGTAAAATATGTTCAAATGATTGTATGAGTAGTGTAGGGGAAAGCTAAAAACCCCTGTCAACTTTTTTATCTGTTGTGTTGCAGATTTCCCTTCACTTACTGTCTGGTGAAATTGTTGTCATTAAGATAGTAGGGGGAAAACATTCTAACAGAGCCCTGGATGGCAATTAAACTTGACAGGGATTTTTTAATCCCTCCCCAGGCTATCCAAAATTAAAACAAAAGAAAACTTTGGGCTCTAGTTATGTTCACAGTGCATTAAGAGTGCTTTAACTTGCCAGTGAATTTTCACATATTTTACATGGTTTTGCTTGAGTGCAAAGCCAATTTAAACAATGGCGGCTCATAATCCACACTTTTTTGTGCTGTGTTCTCATTAGTACAGGCTTCTACCTTAAACTGTTTGAGGAATAGCAGTAAGAAAGCCAGCTGATGCCGAGCTATGACACATGAAGCGAAATTTCCCAGACCATAACAGACGCATTCATAGTCTTGGAGACAACGATGAGAAGGCACATCTTCCTCAAGGCACTGACTTTTCATTAACTCTCCATTGTCACTGTTGTCTTTTGAAACTGCTGGAGCTATATTTTGACATTTGCAAAGACAACCTGCGGGAAATAAAGATAATAATGTCACTGCAGTTGGAAATGGCTTGTAAAAACTGTGTCAATAAATCTCTGTTTTACAAAGTTGTGCTCTATAAAGGGCTTCACTTAGTTACATAATTTGGTTTTTACAATGTCATTCCGAATAAAATTCTGAAAGTAAGAAAATCACAGATTTAAAATGACAATATTTCATTTAGATGAAAGCAGTCAACTTTAAGAGTTACAGCATTTTTCTCTAAAACAGTTACTTCTAATAATATCAATACTGGGGTATTATTACTTATACAGCTCTGATATAGTTGCAGAGATTTATAGCTGATGGAAATGCTTTAATATTGTATCAATAAAGGTACTTACATGTGTAGGAAGCGATGCTCTGTATCCACAAGCAAAACATTCTGTAGATATTGCTGCATCCCAAATATATAATATATATATATATACACACACACACACACACACACACACGTTTATTGGGTTACAATAACCACTTGCCCTCCGGAAGATTTACCCCCCTTAAGGCTAGGTTCACATATATGCGAGTGATGCCGCTGCGGATCCGTACAAAAATCCATGCAGCCGCACCAAAGAATGCGGACCCACGGGCGGGTGCCATTAATTCTAATGGCGTGCTGCCCGTACTGGAAATCGTAACTGTACTGGGAACCGACTTCTCTGTGTGTTCCGGGGCAGGGGAGTCCTTTCAATTGAAAGGGTTCTCATGCCCGTGCAAAACGCGGCCCGCAGGAACGCACATATGTGAACCAGGGCTAATAACTAGACCATTTTTTGCTATTCAGCACTGCGCTATTTCAACTGGTAATTGTGCAGTTATGCAATGCTGTACCCAAGCAAAATGTATGTCCTTATTTTCATACAAATAGAGCTTTCTGTTGGTGGTATTTGATCGCCAATGGGTTTTCAATTTTTGTGATATAAAAGAAAAAAATTACAAAGTTGTCAGTTAAATTATATTTTGCATACGCATGCCATGGGTATATGTGGAATAACACAGAAAAACACATTCTGCTACTTCTCCCAAGTGTGTGGATACCACATGTGAGAGACTTTTTGGAAGCCTAGCCATATACACGACCCCAAAATCCAATGACCACTTTCAGGCTTTCAAAGGGCATATTTCCTCTTATCACTTCCTTACTACCCATCACAGTTTTGGAGGTCCTAAAATGCCAGTACAGCACAAACACCCCTACCCCCCCCAGAAATGACCCCTTTTTGGATATTAGACACCCCAAGGAATTTTATAAGAGCCATGGTGAGTATTTTGCATTTATCATTTTTGTCACAGGGTTTTGAAAAATAATAAAAGTAAAGAAAAAATAAATATTCGTTTTCTTTCTTCTTTCTCCAAAAACTTGTGGCAACAAATGAGATTTGCTAAATACTCACCGTGCCTCTTAACAAATACCTTGGAGTGTCTACTTTCCAAAAAGGGGTCATTTAGGGGGGAGGGGGTATTATCCTGGCATTTTAGGGCCAGCATTAGGAGCTTATGTCAGACATCACTTTACCAACCGCTCTGTTTCCGCCACTCCCCTCTGCCAATCCCTCCACTGGCTTCCGATTGCGCAACGGATCAAATTCAAAATCCTAACACTGACGTACAAAGCTGTCCACCATACTGTTCCAAATTACATCACCAACCTAATATTCAAGTACCACCCAACACGCACACTCCGCTTCTCACAAGACCTCCTTCTCTCTAGTTCCCTGGTCTCCTCCTCCCATGCCCGCCTCCAGGATTTCTCCAGGGTGTCACCCATCCTCTGGAACTCCCTACCCCAACCCATCAGACTATCACCTACTCCCCTCTCCTTTAGGCGCACCCTGAAAACCCATCTCTTCAGGGAAGCCTACCCCACCCCCTGCTAATTTGCCGACCTCCTCCACTATTCCTACCACTCCATTCCCCACAGCTATCTCCTCCTGTACCATTATCCCCTCCCTCCTAGATTGTAAGCTCGAAGGAGCAGGGCCCTCGAACCCCTCGTGTATCGCATTGTATTGTTATTGTACTGTCGCATGTTCTGTCTCCCTTTGTAATGTACAGGCTGAGCGAACTGTTGGCGCTTTATAAATACTGTATAATAATAGTTACCTAATTTTCTAACCACTTGAAGACCAAGACCTCTTCTAACACTTGAAAAAAACATTTTTCTTTGCTAGAAAATTACTTATATATTTTTAAAGCACAGGCCATAGAGAATTGCAGTGGGTTTTGAAACTTTTTATGTCACACAGTATTTGCGCAGCGAATTCTCAAACAAGCTTTGAAATTGCGCACGCCCATGCAACGCCAACAAAGTATGCAAATTTGTAATATCCATAGGCGACACTTTAAAAGCCTTTACAGGTCACCACTTTAGATTTACACAGGAGGTCTACTGCTACTGCCCTCAATCTGACGTTCATGGTGATACCTCACTTGCATGGTGCAATCTCTGTTTACATACCGCCATGGGACCACTGCTTACGTTTGCCTTTGCGCGCGAGCACAGGGGAGGGGATGAATTTTTTTTTCATTATTTATTTTGCTTTTTTAAATTATTTTTACACTGTCCATTTCATTTTTTTTGTTATCACAAGACATGTAAATACCCCCTGTGATAGTAATAGGCAGTGACAGGTACTCTTTTCTGGGAAATCTCGGGTCTATTAGACTCTACATCTCTCCTCTGCCCTCACGATCGGTGTGATCATATGCTTTCGCAATTTTAAAATAGCGCTGTTTATTTCAAAACAGAAATGATGAAATGCTCGTAGCTTCAAGTCTCTTAGACCATAGAAATGACTGGAGGCATTCCAGCCTCCGATAAGCTCTATTGTCAGCCAGCGGAACTGCCGGCTGCATTTTGGGTGGACGGGAGAGCCCAAGAAAACCTTGGAAGGCGGCAGGAGGGGTGGAAGAGTCCTTTTCGCTGCTTGTAAAAGTGATCCAGGAGCTAATTACCCGCTAGGATTGTTTTTACATGAAAGCCAAAGGCAAACAGAAAAAAACAATACCAGAATAATGCCTGAAGCTGCAGGCATCATCCTGGTATAACCACCCAAAGTCTAATGACGTACCAGTACATTGCTGGTCCTTGGGCATATATGTAACAGTAGAGAACATAGACATATGATGAATTGGCTCTGTGGACCAATATGACCGCAATTCATTCTTTTTTGTAAAGCCAATGCTGAGGGCTAGGCCCAAAGAAGTTTTAAATTAAGAAACTGTGATAGGTTTCCATGCAAACTGTCTGTCGAGCTGAATTTGGGTGGGCGGCCATGTATTGTTGTGCATATAAATTGCTTTGGCCCACAATCAATTGATACAAATCTTCCATGAAAAACAGCAGAGGAACTGTGTTTTTGGGGACACTATACAAAAGGAGGCACTGGTATAGTTCTGTTTGTGATCAATATATTGATCTGTACAAACACTATACTAGTAATGGCGGTGATCAGCGACCTAAAGCATGAAAGCATGAGTACAATAGTGTGCAAGCAATCTAACTCTAGCTGACCCTGGCTGGGAGGGGCGCTAACTGACCCTGATGCTATCTGATGTCACTAGTGGCAGTAATGAAGTGATCAGTGAAAAAATCCAATTTACAGACACTGTAGTAATGGTACTGGCAGGGTGACGGGGTGATCAAAGGGATAATAGGGGCGATCAAAGAGTTAAATGTGATAATTTAACATGTGAGTGTAAATTGTAGTGCTTTTACTCAGTGCCATGTTCATTCTTCTCTCCCTGGACGGCATAGGGGAAAGTGGGACACACACACATGTGCACGCACACCCGGAAATAGAAAGCGACACAAGATTACATCGCTTTGCTCAGAGCCACTGCTCGCCCACTTTGAAATGTCATGAACGTGTTGAGTTAGTGACAGTTCAATATAATAGCAATCTGTGATTGACTCCAGCTGGTCACATGGTACAGGGTTTATGAATCAGACAGATTTGTTGTCATTGTGATCATGTCATTGCATAGCAATCACATGATCACTGGGTCCCAATTACCGGGATTCTCATTCCATGAGAATTCAATTCAATTCATTTATTACGTGGTGGGGTATGGTTTCATCCCTGCTTGGGCACGCAGCACCCCCCAGTGTTGGCAAAAGGCCAGCAACATACGGTACGTTGCTTGTCCTGTAGGCAGCCAGAAAGTGGTTAATTAGCATCAATGCTGAACAACACAAGCTCAAACCAAGGACGCATAGAAGATATTGTTTCTATTTGCCCTGCTCACACCACACATGTTGAAGTGTGTTGTATGAAAAATGTACAAAGCATGCATACATAGAAGTCAGTATTACAGCTTCTATGAATGAAAAGTGAACTATAAACCGTGCCTCCTGCACAGCTCTTATATGTCCCTATCCCACTTAGGACGATTCCAGGCCTGCCACTCCATACAACTTCTCTGTGACCAACAGCTTTAGACGTCCACTTTCCACACTGGAGGAATCTTGCTCAGCTGAGGGCACCCTACCCCATGCCTTGTCTAAATGATATGCTCTACTGGTGCTGCCACCCGAAGGCTTCTCTCCTCCCTATCTATCAAAGTGGGAGCCGGATCTGGGAAGAACCTTTACAGAAGACCAAAAAATCAACATACTTAGTTTTTCTCTGAAATCATCTTTGTGCACGAAAATAGAGGAGAACAACTTTAAGATATTGGCTCGGTGGAACAGAACTCCTATATTGCTACATAAGTTCTCTCCCATCAACCCTAATACTTGTTGGAGATGTCAGGAGGAGGATGGAGCTCTCCTCCATGTGTTCTGGTCCTGCCCTTGGCTTACACACTAATGGTGAGAGGTCCGCTGTATCATCCAAAAACTCATGGACCTTTCTGTGCCTGTAGATCCGGTATTTTTTTCTTTTACATGTTGCCAATAAGCCATCCAAGACTTACAAGAGGTATGTACTATGCCATCTATTGAATGCAGCCAACTTTTGCATCTCCCTATGTTGGACAGAAGAGAAACCACCATCGATTGGGCTTTGGCTACGCAAAGTCGAGGAAATAAACCATATGGAATATTTGGTGCTTTTGCATAGGCATAAACATAAGGTATATTCTAAAACCTAGACACTCTGGAACTTGTTTGTTTACTCAGATGAAGGGAGGTCTCTCCTCGAGGCAGGGGAAGGGTGACCACCTCTCACCTGGCATCTGGTTCCTTCTTTCCTGTCCCCTCTGCCCTCCCACCCCCTTTCTTCCTTTTTCTATCTCATCTCTCTATTTTTTTCCTCTTTCTCTATTTTTCCCAGCTGTATTTCTTTTCTTTTTTTGATTTTCAATTTCCACATTCTTTTCAATTTAATTTTTATATAAAAAACAGATCCCATAATAAGGCTCGTGAGGACTAGTGCCCTGTTACTTATTTTCAATATTTTATCCAAAGAGAGAAGGCAAAACAATTAACAAATGCAAACATTTTTTGGGTTTGAAATAAATTTGAAGGGACCCTCAGTGTATACAGTTGCAAGAAAAAGTATGTGAACCCCTTGGGATTACGTGGAGTTTTGCATGAATTGGGCATAAAATGTGCTCTGAACATCATCTAAGTCACAACAATATAGAAGAACACAGTCTGCTGAACATAATACTACACAAACATTAGATGTTGCCATGGTTTAATTGCACATAACATGTAAACATTCACAATGCAGGGAGGAAAAAGTATGTGAAGCCCTAGCTTAATGACTTCTCCCAGAGCTAATTGGAGCCAGGAGTGAGCCAACCTTGACTCCAATCAGTGTGATGATATTGGATGTGTTGCTGACAGCTGTCCTGCCCTTAAAAAACACACACCTGTTTTGGGTTTACTGGTTTCAAGAAGCACTGTCTGATGTGAACCATGCCTCGCAAAAAAAAAGCTCTCAGAAGACCTACGATCGAGAATTGTTGACTTGCATGAAGCTGGAAAGGGTTACAAAAGTATCTCCAAAAGCCTTGATGTTCATGTGTCCACGGTAAGACAGACTGTCTACAAATGGAGAAAGTTTAGCACTGTTGCTACTCTCCCTAGGCGTGGTCGTCCTGTAAAAATGACTGCAAGAGCACAGCGCAGAATGCTGCTGCATGAGGTAAAGAAGAATCCCAGAGTGTCAGCTAAAGACCTACAGAAATCTCTGGCACATGCTAACATTTTTGTTGACACATCTACAATAAGGAAAACATTAAACAAGAATGGAGTACATGGGAGGACACCACGGAGGAAGCCATTGCTGTCCAAAAAGAATATTGCAGCACGTTTGAAGTTTGCAAAAGAGCACCTGGATGTTCCACAGCACTACTGGCAAAATATACTGTGGACAGATGAAACCAAGATTGAGTTGTTTGGGAAGAACACACAACACTATGTGTGGAGAAAAAAAGGCCCAGCACACCAACATCAAAACCTCATCCCCACTGTAAAACATGGCGGAGGGAGCATCATGGTTTGGGGCTGCTTTGCTGCCTCAGGGCCTGGACGGATTGTTGTCGTTGATGGGAAAATGAATTCCAGAGTTTATCAAGACATTTTGCAGGAAAACGTACGACCATCTGTCTGCCAACTGAAGCTCCGCAGAGGATGGGTGATGCAACAGGACAATGACCCAAAGCATACAAGTAATTCAACAAAACAATGGCTGCAACAGCACAGAATATGCCTTCTGGAGTGGCCCAGTCAGAGTCCTGACCTCAACCCCATTGAAATGCTGTGGCATGACCTTAAGAGAGAGATTCACACCAGACATCCCAAGAATATTGCTACACTGAAACAGTTTTGTGAAGAGGAGTGGTCCAAAATTACTCCAGATCGTTGTGCAGGTCTGATCTGCAACTACAGGAAACGTTTGGTTGAGGTTATTGCTGCCAAAGGAGGGTCAACCAGTTATTAAGTCCAAAGGTTCACATACTTTTTCCTCCCTGCACTGTGAATGTTTACATGTTATGTGCAATTAAACCTAGGCAAATCTAATGTTTGTGTAGTATTATGTTCAGCAGACTGTGTTCTTCTATTGTTGTGACTTAGATGACATTCAGAGCACATTTTATGCCCAATTCATGTAAAACTCCACGTAATCCCAAGGGGTTCACATACTTTTTCTTGCAACTGTAGCTATTCATGGAAGGTATCTGTAAATGTAAAAACTGTAGCTAAGTGGATTTTATTGAGATGTGGCATCACTTTATTTCTATAACTGGATTTATGGTTTGTAACTGGGTTTGTAAACGAGGGCATACATAATACAAAGTACTCACCTTGACAGGATTTCCAAAAGTCAGAGATTCTTAGGTTTTCCCTATTGGAGGAAAACAAAAAAACATATTCATGGCCAGTACTTTTAGACATGCTAGAACAAAACCATAAACATCATAAACCAAAGACATCATTCATAAAATGTCATACTATTTTCAGTCATAGGTACTGTAAGTCATTTTGATATATTGACACATATAGGACTCATATCTCCTCCATGTGCTGCAAAATGCATTTGGTTTATGTATATGCACTAAATCAGTCACTGCAACCAGCTGTTACTGTATATCCAGGAATATTTTTTGATGTGCTACACAATATATGACTAACATTACCCTTTCTTTATATACTTCTTATGTGGTGGACTTTATAACCTTCAGTTGAGTATGTCAATCCAGCATGACTATTCACCATTTAAATGGACAAAGCTTGATGCACAATGTTTTTGGTACTGCACCAAAATCTACAGTATGGTTACCTCTAACCCAGTCTCCAGGACATCCTTGTCTAAGAACATCGAAATTCCACGTTTTTAACTCTGCCTACATGAAAATATTTCAATGTACACATGCATCTGATTATTTAGAAGCATGCTGGCAATGTTTCCTTTAGTACCGGTTCACATACACTATACTGCCTTAGGACACCCTTCCAAATCACTGGACTCAGGTGTTCCAATCACCTCCATTGCCACAAGTGTATAAAATCAAGCACCTAGGCATGCAGACTGCTTCTACAAACATTTGTGAAAGAATGGGTCGCTCTCAGCAGCTCAGTGAATTCAAGTGTGGTGCCATGATAGGTTGTCACCTGTGCAATAAGTCCATCCGTGACATTTTGCTACTAAATATTCCACAGTCAACTGTTAGTGGTATTGTAAGAAAGTGGAAGCAACTGGGAACAACAGCAACTCAGCCATGAAGTGGTAGGACACGTAAAATGATAGAGCGGGGTCAGCGCCTCCAAACTTTGTGTGGCCTTCAGATTAGCACAACAACAGTGCGTACAGCGCTTCATGGAATGGGTTTCCATGACCAAGCAGCTGCAACCAAACCTTACATCACGAAGTGCAAAGCGTTGGATGCAGTGGTGTAAAGCACACCACCAATGGACTCTAGAGCACTGGAGACGTGTTCTCTGGAGTGACCAATCACACTTCTCTGTCTGACAATCCGAGGGATGTGGCTGGGTTTGGCGGTTGCCAAGAGAACGGTACTTGCCTGACTGCATTGTGCTCCCAACATTGTGGGAACAGTTTGGGGATGGCCCCTTCCTGTTCCAACATGACTGCGCACCAGTGCACAAAGCAAGGTCCACAAAGACCTGGATGAGGGAGTTTGGGATGGAGGAACTTGATTGGCCTGCACAGAGTCCTGACCTCAACCCGATACAACACCTTTGGGATGAATTAGAACGGAGACTGCGAGCCAGGCCTTCTCTTCCAACATCATTGCCTGACCTCACAAATGCACTTCTGGAAAAATGGTCAAATCTTCCCATAGACACACTCCTGAACCTTATGGACAGCCTTCCCAGAAGAGCTGAAGCTGTTATAGCTACAAATCGTGGGCCAACTCAATATTGAACCCTACGGAATAAGACTGGGAAGCAATTAAAGTTCATGTGCATGTAAACGCAGGCGTCCCAATACTTATGCTTGCCGTCACAACCTCTGATAGTGTACCTCGCAACACAGTAAATAAATTGGCAACTTTAGTCACAGAGGCACCAGCTAAGCAGTACCAGCAATTTGTCCTCTTTGAAGCTCAGTAATCTCTGACATGACTCTGTATTACTAACTATCTTCCCAACTGTTAGCTATGTGTATCATCACACAGCGGAAACAAAAGAATGTTACATCAATTCCACTTTCAACACGAAACATGTTGCAACTTTCACATCTGCAAATCATGTAATGTTTCCTTTTTTCTGTCTAACCCTGATAGATAGATAGATAGATAGATAGATAGATAGATAGATAGATAGATAGATAGATAAATGTACATACACACAGGTTTACTCACATGGTGTCCCTAATTTTTTTAATGACATCTTTGCCATTTACAACCAGATCCAGATCTTGTGAAGATCCTTCAGCTTTACAAAGTGAGTTTTCTTTAATCCGCTGTGACTTCTTTCTTATCTTTCTCTTGCCTACCACCTGCCAGGCATCTGACTCCATACCTGGGAATAGTGCAGACACCTAAAAACAGCAGAAAAATTTATGTTAGAAAATAAAAGTCTGAAAAACGATTTTAATATTTCTGACAAAAATAACAAATAATTGACCAGAGACAAATGATATCTGAAGGGGGAAATAAAAAATACTTTTGTATGTTAAAGGGGAGCTCCAGAGAAGATTTTCTAATTTGTGTTGTGTAATAAAAGGCTCTCAAACCAGCCTTGCAATCAATAGGGCATAGAAACCACGTTTTCCAGCAGTCAAAATGGTTGTGGCAGCACTTCCTCTAACGCATTTCGTCACTTCCGGAAGTGACGAAATGTGTTAGAGGAAATGACGTCCAGACGCAGCATGAAAACCGGAAGTGCCGCCAGAGCCATTTTGACTGCTGGAAAACGTGGTTTCTATGCCCTATTGATTGCAAGGCTGGTTTGTTTGCCACAGAGCTGATATTTGATATCCCCAATGTAAGATATTTGTTAAATGTATCCCTATACTTGGAATATCTATTATATGAGTCTCCTTTGCTTTATGAAGAATATGGAGGATGGGCTCCTGAAGTGAAGGAAAACTTGGAAGTAATACTTTTACCAGGAATATCGTGATAAACTTATGAATACTACCAGAGGGTAATGGTATTTAATATCACTATTTGGAGTGGTCACTGAGTGTTCACTATATGTATTGAAGTGTTCACTTTAATATTGGATTTTGGTTCACATTTATTTTAGTTGATTATTAGTAAATACATTTTGGATATATATTTATATTCACATATATTTTTTTTTTTTCCTCTCGCATAATCACTATTAATCACAGTTGTAGTGGTTTGGATTTTTTGCACAGATTTATTGATTGCACTTTTTCTGTAATTTGTTATTTGGAAGATAATGCACTATATGAGTGTTCTTTTTTTTTGAGGTATCACGAGGATTGAAATAGGATTTGGAATCCTTCCTACTGGACCTATTTGTATTTGTTTTGGTGGACTTTTGATTTAGACTTTAATTGGACTATTTTTCATTCATTTTATATATATATATATATATATATATATATATTAATTTTTAGAACTATTTGGTTAGTTGGTTAGATAATATTCAGATTATTCACTTGATATGGTGAAAGAAGGTTTAATATATCATTGGTTGCTGCAGATCACTATGTGGAACTAATTTTCTGAATACTGAAAAACAGGAGATAGGAGAGGTAGAGGAGGAAGGGAAAACCGAGAGAGAAGAGGGGAGAGGAAAGCGGGTAATGGGAGAGAAGGAAGAGGGGAGAGGGGAGGAAGAAGAGGAAAGTGAGGGTAGGAGAAGAAGAAGAAAGAGGGGAGAGAATAAAGGGAGAAGAAGAGGGTGAGAAAGAAGGGGGGGGGGGGTGGAAGAAGAAGAGAAGGGAGAGGGAGAAGAGGAAAGGAGAGAAGAAACACACAAAATGGGGAGATATAGTAAATGGGAAGAGGAGGGTGAGCAGGAAGGGGGAAAGAGGAGGGTGAGAAGGAAGGGGGAAAGAGGAGGGTGAAAGGAAGGGGGGAAAATAGAGGAGGGTGAGAAGGAAGGGGGGAAGAGGAGGGTGGAGAAGAAAGGGGGGAAGAGGAGAGTGAGAAGGAAGGGGGGATAGAAGAAGGGTGAGAAGGAAGGGGGGAAGAGAAGGGTGAGAAGGAAGGGGGGAAGAGGAGGGTGAGAAGGAAGGGGGAAAGAGGAGGGTGAGAAGGAAATAGGGGGGAAAGAGGAGGGTGAGAAGGAAAGGGGGAAAGAAGAGAGGGAAGATGGAGAAGAGCAAAGAGGGGAAGGAGAAAAACCAAGAAAAGAGGGGAGAGAGTAAAAGGGAGAAGAGAGGGTGAGAGGGAAGGGGGGAAGAGATATTGGGCAGAGGTGGAGAGGAGAAGAGGAAAGAAGGGGGAAAGGGAGAAGAGGAAAGAGGGGAGGGGTGAGAGGGCAGAAGAGAAGGATGAGGAGAAGGATAGGGGGTAAAGAGGGAAGGAGAAATGAAATGAGAAGAAGATGGGATGAAGGAGAAACAACGAAGAAGATGAAGAAGGATGAGAAAAATTTGGAGGGGGAGGAAGATAGAGAAAGGAAGGATGGAAGGCTATACAGAAGAATGGGAAGGAAGGGGAAAAGTGGTTTCTAGCCCTTTTTTGCAAGGTGGTTTTTTTTTGCCCCAGAGCTGATTTTGATATCCCCCTGTAAGATATTTATTTAAAAGTATCCCCTTTTTATTGGAAAATTTATTATATGAGTCTCCTTTGCTTTATGAAAAATATGGAGGATGGGGTCCTGAAGGGAAGGAAAACTTTTGGGGAAATAATACTTTTTTCCCCGGAATATGTGATAAAATTATGAATAATACAGAGGGTAATGGTATTTAATATACTATTTGGGTGGTCATGAATGTTCACTATTTTATTGAAGTGTTCATTAAAAATTGGGGTTTTTTGGGTTTCCCTTTATTTTTGTTGATTATTAGTAAATACATTTTGAATATAATTTATATTCACATTTTTTTTTTTTTCCCCTTGCTAATCACTATTTAAACAAGTTGTAGTGTTTTTATTTTTTGCAAGATTTATTGTTGCACTTTTTTTGTAATTTGTTTTTTGG